GTGAACACTGATCACAGTTTCTGCTGAAGAATCCAGCTAGAGTAGACACCAGAGATATTCATTTAATGACTTATATCAGCAGAGTTACCCCAGGGATGAGTTTGGTTCTTATTTCCCACATTAGTTGTCTCTAGTTGAGGGGAAACATTTCCAATTATCTAAAACACAAAGCAATGGAAGTATTTTTTTTTCCATATATGCATAGCTACACATCATAGATATATTCACATACAGTAATACACCACAGAGTGGTCATGCAAAGCTTATTCTCCATTACTTTAGACTGTTAAATATATGTACCCAGGATAGCATCAGAAAGATTTAATGAAACCTTTAGAAACAATTTTGCTTGGTTAGTCGGATTAATATGGGATGGATGATATGGGAACTAGGTTTTCTGTTCAAATACACTGTGATAGTTGTGGATTAATTCTGTTCACACAAGTGTGGAGCAGCAATCTTTCTTTAAGAGGTTAATCAAATAAGTACTTACTAAAGCAACCCCAAAAATACGTATCAGTGAAAAACTTTTAGCTTTTTTTTTTGCCAAATGAGTTAATAACCCCACCATCCAAACCCTAACAACTATTTATTTTGTAGTAGCACTGCAATTTTCCTAGGCAGTTTCTCAGAGGATTTGCTTACCAGTTTTCCAGAACTGGTTGTTGTAAGGGCATGGATCACCAGAATAGGGCTGGAAATGCTGTACACAGCTGCCTTCACTTTCTCTCTTTCTCTCTCTCATTCTCATGGCCACAACATTTCATTGGTGAGGAATGCTCACAGCTACAGTACCAACATGTCAAGTTGTGCTGGTTTTAGTTAGTGTACAAAATCATTCTTGCATCTTTAGTCATACTCTCTCTAGGAATAGACTATCTGAAGTCAGGGCTGTCCTTTGCTGGCTGTTAAGACTGGCAGCTGCTGGCCAAAAGAAATATCTTTTCTTATAGTTCAGGTTGTCCAACTGTTTTTGTGTGCACACATACTGCCCTTCCTCTTGTATGGGAGCCTGACCATATGTCCTGGTTTCAGCTGGGATAGAGTTCATTTTCTTCCCAGTAGCTGGTGCAGTGCTGTGTTTTGGCTTTAGTCTGGGAACAGTGCTGATAACACACTAATGCTTTAGCTGTGGCAAAGCAGTGCTTACTCTAAGTCAGGGACTTTTCAGTCTCTGATGTTTTGTCAGTGGGTAGGGGCACAGGGAGCTGCGAGGAAGCAGAGACAGGACACCTGACCCAAACTACCCAAAGGGGTATTCCATACTACAGCACGTCATGCCCAGTATATAAATGGGAGGGAGTTACCTGGAAGTCCCAGATTGCTGCTTGGATCGGGTTGGGTATCAGTTGGCGGTGGTGAGCAATTTTTTTTTTTTTAATTTTCTCTCTCTCTTTGTTACCTCGCTTGTTATCACCATTATTATTATTTACTTTTTTTTTCAATCATTAAACTGCTCTTATCTCAACCTATACATTTTTTATCTTTTTTCCAGTTCTCTTCCCCATCACACTGGGGCATGGAAGGGGTGAGTGAGCAGCTGTGTGGTATTTAGTTGCTGGCTGGGGTTAAACCATGACACTATATAGAGGTGTTTTTTTTTTTTGATGTGTGGCTGCTGGATCTGAGAGGATAACTTTGGTGAGTTCTTATGATGCAGAAGTCCTACAGCTTTAATTAAGGGAGGATAAAAGCCAGAAGTTTTGTAGACATGGGACAAGATTGCTGTCTCAGATTAAAGAATTTATGAGATAAAATGTATATTCAATTGTTTGCTTTGGAGACACCCTTTAGGACTATTAAGGCAAAGAGACAGGATACCATTACTAATGTGAAAAACTCCTCCACTCCTCTAATAATTTTGCATTATTTTTATAATGATTTTCCCAAGATTTTCCCATTCCCTAATGGCAATTAATGAGGCTCAGGATGGATCTTCATATGATCAAATAAAAAATATTGCAATATAATCTTGACTACAACTTAATTGCATTAATTATATTTTCTATATTTTCTTATTCATAATGCAAAGGGTTAAGAACTTCTCTGTTCCAAAAAAATTTGTAATGTATTACTCCTTTGCCCATAACGTGTTCAATTATTTGATGTTTTATCCATCTAAGACTCCAGGATGCACTTCCTGCTTATTCTTGGCTGACTGATGCCTTTATTTCAGTAATAATTTCCCTCATGCCCAGTATGATCCAATACAGAATTTCAGATTATCAAAGTGATTTTTTTTAGAATATTTATTATGCAAGATCTTGACAAAAGTAAAGTAAATGAAATTATCTTACTTTGTTAACCTTTTCTTCTCATATCAGATATATTCCTTATTTAAATTTCCTAGAGTAGTGAGGATTCTTCTGAACATGGAGATTGGAAATTTTTGATGTTCTCAGACTACCTTCTCTACTAAAAAAGAATTAGAAACTATTTTAATTGGCTACTGTTTAATCTGTAACAGGGTTCTTTTTGGGTAAGAAATTAGCCCTGTATCGTGCATATAAGTAAGTTGTACCTAAATTTCACAAACTTGTGCAAAATCTGATATAGCTGTAATAATGACAACACACAAAAATTGTAGAAAATTATGTACCACACACACATTTCAAAGTAGGCTTGCTTCCCAATGTAATATTGGCATATTATATTATACAAATATAATTTTAACACATTCTCGTAGACTTTGTGGGCCAATTTGCCTTAGTTTGTTTGTATAGTAGCACCTTGTGAATGCAATAATAAACTATGAATAAAAAAATGTATTTGAATACCAAAACCAATAACAATTCATAACTTATGTTCATACTGCCTTAGTGATACCTGAAACTTAGAAACTTCCAAGATCAAGAAAATTCATTCCTCAAATTTGACGAAATATCACCACTGAGATCCTCTCTCTCACACCCCACTGAAGAATCCCCTCTTTTCATGAAGTTTGTCACATTTCTTCTCAGTCATCTTTTAACACATGACTGGTCCTGAAATATCTCAAACTGTTAAGATAATAGCAAGATTTACCACATTTTTCTCCATCTTGCTTACTCAAGATAAGTATTCATATTATGGATCGCTGTTTCTGTTTGTTCTGCTTGGAAAATTTGTGAAGCACGGTTGTATTGCAGAGCTTTAGATGGTATTTTTCCATGAGAGAAAAGCATTTTTCCTGGAAAGCTTTTTAAAGTCACACTTTAACAGAAAAAATTACAAAACTGAATTAGTGCACAAATCAGAGAAAATATTTATTTACAGACATGTAAAAATTATGTTACAATATTTTAAAGAAAACTGTAATGAGCCAACAATCTGATCTACATGGGCAAACCCTGACTGTTTTAATTCTAACTTGCAGTGGCACCTATTAAAAATATGACTGCTTACAAGATTGTAGCTATCTACATATATTAAATACAATAATTTTTCAGAACTAAAAATGGATCTACAGAGAAAAATAATAAGAACCACAGCATGTCATACAAGAGTTACAAAAGTAAAAATATTTCTTGATCCAAACTTTAAAGCTTTTTAGCAAATATTTTCCATTCATGCAGCTGCACAGGTTTGAAACAAATATCTGAACAGAGCATATAGGCCTGTGTAGAAAGTGAGTTGGTTTAATTCAGAACTGTCCATAAAGGATTTTATAAGACTGTTGACTACCCAAACCGATTGATAAGATCCTTTATGTTTCCTACTCTTTAATATTGCAAGGGATGAGCAACATTAAGAAACCCCACAACTGACAAAACCCATGTAAAACAAGTATAGGTAGTAATGGCAAACAACACCGAGCATACTGCATACATGAAAAGTAGAGAACTATCAAGCTTTGTTGAAGCTACCAGCATCCTCTGTAGTGATTCGAAGCAAACATGCCATTAAGAAACCTTGTTAGTAATTGACTGCATGGCACAACAAGCTTTTGGCTTGCAAATGAAGTAGTGCCTCAGGGTCTTATCAGAGGTGTCTTTTGCATTCAAAATATATTCAGGACTTAAACTGTCATGTGAAACAGTGTTAACATCATGATGGTGCAATCATTTCTTTGAGTATATAGTCTAAGGGTAATGATTGGAAAGAATTTGTGAAAATCTAATAGAGTGCTCTTTTGTGATTAGTAGCTCATTTGGAATGGAGGTGCTGAAAAGATGAAAACACCTAGCTGTTTCTCATATGTGGTTTATTAACATCAACATCAGAACTGATCTCCTTGGATGACATTCTTCATCTTTTAAGTCAGCCAACAATTTACATAATTGAAATGGGCAAAATGCCTGTTGAGCTGCTAAGGTTTGGAGATCTTTTTTTTTAACTGTCAGCCAAAGATGGAGATCCCCAAATGGCAATTTCTTTTACATTTTTTTCAGTTAGAAATGATCATAAACTATATTAATATACAGATAGTGGAAAAATATTTCACCCTTTGATTTGACCTAACATTTCACTTAAACAAAAGTCATATTTTTTGCTGTAATTTTCTGGGAGAGTCGGTGTTGGTGGATTCTGAAGCTGTGAATTTTTAAGCTCAGGCATAGCTACTTATTCTGGTCTTTTCTTAATTAAGTAATTAGGTATTACTCAGCACTTAGGTAAACCATGTAACTCCACACACAATAGACAAGCTAAATATAAATACACAAACAGAAGTGTGAGTGCTATGTTACATAATCTACTGAAGAAAATTCCCACTCAGTAATAGAAAATTAAATTCAAATACATGCTTTTCTTCCAAATATGTGAAGAATATCGACCTTTCTTTGATGGTGGTCCCCATGCTAGAAACCTGATTGGAGACCTTGAGCTCCCACCTCCTCATGCACCCACTGTTTGAGGTGAACCTATCATCTCAGAAACTACTGTTTTTTTTATAGAAATTGAAAGGCTGATCTATTAAAAAGTCCCTCTGGTACCTTTATTTTTCTCTTGCTTTCAGCCTACAGAGAATGATTGAAAGGGCAAGGCAAGGGTTCATCCTCATGGTGCTTGAGGCCACAGATTTCAGTGGATGCAGGAGCTCTGCCTGGCAGACAGCTGGGTCTGAGCTCCATTTGACTGCTTAAGGTACTTTTTAAATTAACACCTCTCCATCTTTGAAGGCTGTAGCTATTAAATAATTTTTTTCTCCTGCAATCAATTTTAAAGAAATGTCTCTTTTTATAGGAGTATATCTCATGTAAATATATAGGTAAATAAACATCTATTCCTTGATTTCTGTCATCTGCAGTGCTAAGGAGGTCTAGCTTTAGGATGGTGAACAAATGGGTACTTTCATTAAAAGAAGACAATTTTGTGCTAATATCATATATGCTTTGATACCCTTAATATCTCAGTAACACAAGAGAAATAATGCATCCATTCTGATTGAAAGGAAATATGATTTATTAAGAAATTCTATACTGAGATTCCCCCTACATCTGTAATAATTATCCCAGCTGCAGGCTTTTAGGAGGGTGTTAGAGGTCTGGGAGTGCAAATACGACTGCCAGAAAACAACCCCAAAAGTAATCAGTAGGCTAACTCAGGCTGATAGATATTGGCTGTCTATAATTAATTTACCTGGCTAGATAGGAGACTGACTTTCATGTAAACATAAGGTAGCAACAAACTGGCCTAAAAGACTTGCAGGAGCAGCTGTAACAACTGTCTGATGAATGGCATCACAGAGAGTGCTTATCTGGAGAAAGGGATTTACAGGAGGATTCAATTTACAGTTTATCAAGGATTGCTCTCTTATTTTGACTTTTTCACTTTTTAGCAGCTATCCCTATTAGTAAACATAATTATTTCCAGTGACACATATAATAAATAAAATAATGGAATATACCATATAATGTATTAAATCGTGACACTGATCATAATGGTCTTGTTTGAATTAATCTGTAAATAAAGAAGTGCAATATCACCTGACTCTAAATATGGTAGAACAGTAAAACATGCTAATCATAAAAATAGCTTTTAGAAATATACATTTGTATACAGTGTTTCCCACACCTGTTAAATATGTCCATATTATTATGATACAGTACATTGGCCTTTAAGACATCAAAATTAAAAAAATAATACCAATAATTAGCCAGAGAAAAAACACATTTACAATCTAAACCATAAAAATCTGACAATTGTACAGCTTAGAACATATAAGAAATGGAGTTTCTAATATTTGAACAATAACGTCCATTTTAATAAGTAAATTGAGTTTTCATACAAATTGAATCAAAGGTGTTGCTAGCCAGTAAGAAACCGCAGTTCACAATTTTCTGTGGGGAAGTCAGTTTCTCTTCTCAGTCTTCAGGGAGTTCACATGAGATATCTCATCACTTGATCTGTAGAAACTGAGAAATGAAATGTTCACTTTAGTATGAAGGCACAGAATTTCTTCCAGCAGAACCTCAAAAGGAAGCCAAGACAACAGGGGAAAAGAGGGAAGAGTATGACTTGACTCTTTCACAAATCAATCAAATACCAATATCCATCAGACTTTCCCACCTTAAACTTTAGAGGGCTACAAGAAACTTTATGTACCTGCATCAGTTATCAATCAGGACTCTGCAATGATCTTTTAGACTGCATGGCCCAAAATTACCACACTGAATTAAGCAAGAGCTGTTGAGTCTGAGGTATACTTCCCTTTAATAATGCTATGCAAACAACTGCTGAATAATTTCTACTTTAGCAGTGATAAATGTATCTTAACTGCTTTGCAATGAAATGCTTTATTTGCATAATAGCATTCAATCTAAATAACCTGTGTGTAGAATTCTTTTGTTTGATCCCATCACACTATTTTTATACCTTTTCTGGACCATTTACATTGTCTGTGTGCTTTCAACAATGCTTATAGTTACCAGATTTATGGATCTTCCCTCAATGGCTTCCCCTTTGACATCTATTTTATTGTTTGTGTGTACATGCCATAGGCTTTAATTGTAAATGCTTTGATTTCTCTTGTTGTTTTACCAGCCACAGTGTGAAACTGCAAAAATCCAGTGTCAGCCAACACTTTTGAGGGTCATTCTTCCAGTAGAAGCTGGAGGCAGGTTGCATCTAAAAATCTAGGAGTCCTGCTATGTGGCCCCTTCATGCTACCAGCTTCAACTAAGCATTCAGTGGTGCTGCAGGGGAGCACAAGATACACCAACTCCATCTACCCACAAGAAAACTAACACCAATTTCCCAATCACATCTGTCTGTAAGACTGACAGTAGAAAATGTTAACAGAAGTAGATAGTTCCTTTTTTTTAATTGAAATTTTCAGCCTAAGTTGGTTCTTTTTACTTTTGACATGAAAAATATCTTTCTGCCAATTTCTTCTTCACATTTTTTTTTCTCCTTGTATCATTTTCTATGACTGAAACTGAAAACAGCTGACAAAACCTGCTGCACTTCTGATCAAAACCTGATATCTTTCCAGAGGTTCTTTTCAGCCAATTTTCTCCTTTTTCAGTAAGTTTTAAGTCTGCTATTTCTTTCACAGAAAATTAAAAAAAAAAAAAGTTCTGTTAAAATTTCCATTTATTGAAAACCTGGTTTTCCAATGAAAAAGGTTTTATCAGAAACATCACTGCCCTTCGAAGCAATCAGCCATCAGACTTCCCCCTTGTTGCAAAGGAAGCACCAGATGTCTGGCCATACTCTTCATGGGTAATCAGAATTAAGGAGAAATGCTCATGCAAGAGATTCCAGAACTTTCTTCTTCCATTTAAAATATCCTGAAACTCTTATTCTCTACTTGCATAGAAAAAAATCTTCTCTCTCCCATATTTTTAGCTCCTGATATCTGGACAGGCGTAACTATATGAAAAAGATTTTTAAATTCTCCCTTTAAGTCTGAGAGATATGTAATGGTTGTTAAGTAGCTATTCAAGTTAACAAGAAGTAAAAAAAAGTCCCACTATACATCCTATTACCTCCAGAGAGGGTTCCTCTTTTCTAGCCTTTTCTTCACCTACGCTTTGCTGTTCCATTATGCCATTCTAAAAAGCAATAATTATACATCTAAAAGAGAGACAGATTTTCAAGGTATTTATTGAAGCTTTTTCTCTGCCATAAACCTTTCAAGCATTTACCTGTCACCAACACCAAAAAAGCTTCATTAGGCTACTATTATAAAGTGTCACTGCTAACCATCTGGCTCCAACTCATCAGTGCTGTCCTTTAGAAACAATGATACAAATTTGCTAACCCCACCAGTCCAAAATCTTGCGTTTTCCTTCAGAACATGCTTGTTATTTGCCTCTTAAGACAAATAATTTTAAAAGCTGACAAGAAACTTTAAAATCCAAAATAGTCAAGCTTTTATTTTCTATAGAATGACAGTAACCCAGGGCTATGATTAATCTAGCGTAATGCACTACTAATTTTATTCTATTTCTTCTGAATAGAGTGCAATTTATCATCTGGCTTTATGGTAACGCTGATGATATTAAAAAACCTCATAATGACTAATGTATTTTTTTTTAAACTTTTCATTTTCTTCCTGTTTTACATATATAAAAAACATCCTGACACAACAAGGATGAACTGAATTACATTTAAGCCAGCAATATGTCTTTTATTTGATGCAGTTCTGACAGAAAACCACTTTAGAATGCATGATTTGAACATAATGCATTTTAAGAACTGAATATCCCAACTGAGCATACAGTCTTGGCAGCCATAGACAATATCAGAGAAACAGTATATACTGTCCTAATTGCCATCATAATCTCTGAAAAAAGCTGGAGATAGGTTGTGGAATATTTATTGGTTCATTTTCCACTTGAAATTATTTTTGTTTTTTTTTTCCCTACCTAGGCGGCTTTTTCAGCATGAGCTCCTGAAAACAGTCTTAGACATAAAACCGCATTTCAGTCTTCCAGAAATGGTCTTTCTACTGTTATTATAGTTCCAATATGATCCTTCTAGCATTTTTCCAGACTCAAATGATATTAGATTAAATTAATTTTTACTTTCTACTTTTATAAAGTATATAACATTGGAAAGCCAACATTAAATATTAAACACCTCACTAAATGAAAATGCAGTTCTACTTCAAACTATAATCACTAAAAATGATGGCGTAAATCAGATAAAATTCAGTGAAGATCTGGAGTTTTCCATCTTGTCTTTTAGAAGTTTAACTGTTATATCACTTAACTCCCCTCAAAGCCTAGATAATTCCAGTCTTTACATCTGTAGATCTTTAAGAATGCCCTACATGTAAAGGACATTTTTTATGGGAAAGCCTGGCCATCAGATCACCTGCCAGGGGACAATTTCCTTTAATCTTGGTGCTTCTGGTCACCAAGGATGACTCAATAGGAATAGATCGTGTTCTGTATTTCTCCTAAAAGTTTTTTATGAGAAGGTAAGCTCAGTGTATGGTAAAGACCTGCAGACACCATCCTTTTCAAAGGAGTGGACCACTCCCCAGCCACCCTGGGCAGCTGGAAGCTATAACAGTGACTGTTTCTGTGGCAAGGGGGATGCTGCTGTCATTTCTAAACTTGCTCAGGTGGACTGTATTTGTCTCTATAAGTCTACATAATACCAGGGAACAGTATTACATATCGTGCCTGTGAGCACATGTCATGAACTCTGAGAGTGAGCAAATCAACATTCTGACCAATGAGTATCACACCAATAAAATGAAAGCTTATAACAAAATTGTTTTAACACACTCTACTCAGATCTCTTGTTATCTCAAGCCTTCATGCCCCAGCTTGTCTGTTAGAAAGGACTGCCATGGTTTAACCACAGCCAGCAACTAAGTACCACACAGTCGTTTGCTCATCCCACCCTGCTGTGGGTTGGGGTGGAGAATAGTAAGAAGTTAAAACCTGCAAATTGAGTTTAAGACTTGAAATAAAGTCCAATATAATAATAAAATAAATAACAAAATAATAATAGGAAGAAGAGAGAAAGAGGAATGAAATTCAGGAAACACAGGTGATGCCCAACACAATTTTGCCTGTCCCTGAGCAGTGATAAGTGGCTCCTGTCAACTCTTCCCAGTTTATATACTGAACATGATGTTCTGTGTTATGGAACATCCTTTTGGCTAGTTTGTCATGGCTATATGTCCCTTCTCAGTGACAAAGCACAGGAAATTGAAAACTCCTTGACTTAAGGTGAGCACGACTTAGCAAGAACGAAAGCATCAGCTGTGTATCCCAGCCAAAACCAGGACACAGGGACATGAGTTCTAATTTCTGCTAGTTGAATCCAAACAGGGCTCAGCCTCTTCCCTGCTCTGGTTTATTTGTTCTTCCTTACAATGCTGAAAAAGAATTGTACATAACCACGGGATATGTTCCCTGCTCCCCATAAATTCCTAGTTTCCTTGTCACAGGCTTTATCAGAAAAGTTTACTTGACTTTCTTTACCATGCTCATCTTCCAGACCTGGATGTACAGGAATAAATCTTACTGCCTGAGAACGTAAATTCAGCGTGTGTCCTTGGAAGGGAGTATTCAGAATGCGTCATGACTAAATGACACAAAAGATATACATGATTCACATCTTCCCTTGTAGTACATTAATAAAATGTTTAGACAAACGTCCCACAGGTTACGGATGTTACAGAATTTACTGTATGGTTTACCCCACAATAATTACACGCAATAAGAACATCCAGTAAGCATATATATAGAAGATGTTAATCTGACAAAACACATCTGGTTTTAAACAACTGACTGCTCTGAATATTTAATTTTTATAACATTAATCTTAGCAATTCCCAGAAAATGCAGCTAAGCAGTAAATGGATAGAGGATGGTGCACATATACACATGAGCTTGAAACCCAAACCCTCAAATGTCCTTCCTTTTGATCTCCTGCTTCTTTTATTTTGCCAGACAAACTCATCCTCAGGACTGGGCTTCTGGACTCTGGCCTGAATTTAATAACTATAAGGGAGGCATCTGAAGCTAAATTGTGACCAATTAGCTTGGTTTCAGATAAAATTGCATTTCTACCTCTGTCAGGGTCCTATTGAGTAGGAGATTTTATGCCTGTCACCTTCCCAGGTTGCTGCTGGTGTCTGACTAGGCTCTGGCAGTGAGTTATGTGAATGCCATACATCGCTTTCTGCAAAACAAGTGCAAGCCCATTAAAATGCAGCTGATGCACTGTCCTTTTGCTCAAAATACTGGCCTTCATACTAGCACTACCTCAAACTGCAATTGTAGCATGATTGCTTTGATTGCATCTGATGCTGCCTCCTACACTACAACTGAGTATACTGACTCTAGGTCCACAGATGCCACTCCTGTCCTCTAGGATGACATACTTTGTTTCATCTGTAATAATTTCTTCTGATTATGAAATGTACTTTCTGGACAGCCAAGGAAGT